AAAAAAACAAAGCCATAAGTGTCGTTATAGTACAGGAAAATGGCGAGCAACGACCTGTGTATTTTATCAGCCGGCTGCTACAAGAAGCCGAAACAAGATACCAACTCTTGGAGAATGTGGCGCTGGGGCTGGTACACGCGGCTCGATGGCTCTGCCAATATTTTCAAAGTCATCATGTCGTGGTTCGGACTGACTGCCCGATTGCCAAGGTACTGTGCAAGCCAGAGTTGGCCGGCCGAATGATGGCTTGGTCAATTGAGCTTTCGGAGTTTGACATCCCCTTTGAAGCACGAGGCCCTATTAAATCCCAATGTTTGGCTGATTTTGTGAACGAATTGCAGCCGAAAGGCCATTTTGTAAGTGACCCGTGGACAATGCACGTAGATGGGTCTTCAAATAACCAAGGTTGCGGAGCAGGAGTGATCCTTGAAGGACCGTCCGGATTGATACTCAAACAGTCCCTACGATTTGCATTCAAGACCTCCAATAATCAGGCCGAATACGAGGCATTGTTGGCAGGGTTAAGACTCGCCCAAGAAGTTGGTGCTCGGCAAATAGTGTGTTGGACAAATTCAAAAATTGTCTCGGAACAGGTCAATGATCACTTCCAGGTGAAAGACCCCAACTTGTTGAAATATTACCATTTGTTTAGGAATGCACGCAATGCCATCGAAGAAGTCCAGGTCAAGCATACCCCTAGAGAACGCAATGAACGCGCCGATCAGTTGGCTCGGCTGGCCAGCAGTAGCCGAAAACCAGGGCAGCTTCGAACTACTCTTCATCTCGACCTCGCAACTCCTAGTGTGAAATCGCATGAGTGTATGCCGGTTGATGAACCTCAACAGACCTGGATCTCCGACATAATGAATTATATCGAGTTGGGAAAATAACCAACCGAGCCTTCCGTCGCCAAGAAACTCCGCGCACAGGCAGCCCGATACTCAGTAGTAAACGGGGAATTGTACCGAAAAGGCTTCTCCACTCCGTTATTGAAGTGCATTGATTCAACACAAGCAAATTACGTGCTAAGAGAAATCCATGAAGGGATTTGTAGGTCTCACTCGGGTGGAAGAACTCTAGCAGCCAAAGTGTTGAGAGCCGGGTACTACTGGCCAACTCTTAAAACTGATTGTGCTGAATTTGTAAAGCGATGCATGCAATGCCAGCGCCACGGAAATATTATTCACGCCTCGGCTGAAGAGTTGCACAGTATTAGCGCTCCTTGGCCGTTTGCGCTTTGGGGGATGGACATCCTCGGTCCGTTCCCCCTTGCCAAAGGCCAATGCAAATTTTTGTTGGTCGCAATCGATTACTTCACAAAGTGGATTGAGGCCGAGCCGTTAGCAACGATCACAGCTGGTATGGTGCAGAAGTTTTTGTGGAAGAACATTGTCACGCGCTTCGGTATACCATATGCCATTGTAACCGACAATGGTCTCCAATTCACAGATCAAAAGTTGAACAAGTTCATCCAAGACTTAGGCATACGGCATCGATTCACATCGGTTGAACATCCTCAATCGAACGGACAAGCCGAGGCGGCAAATAAAGTCATCTTAACAGAGTTGAAAAAGCGCTTGGGAGATTCTAAGGGCGCCTGGTCTGAAGAACTAGTAGAAGTTTTGTGGGCTTATAGATGTACGCCTCAATCCACAACAAGGGAAACCCCGTTTCGATTGACATACGGCACTGATGCCATGATTCCCATGGAAGTACGTGAACCTTCTTTTCGCCGACTGCATTTTGATGAAGAAAGCAACAACTCATCTCTTAGAGCAGAAATCGATGTCATCGATGAAGTCCGTGACAAGGCACGTATCATAGCCGAATCATGCAAGCAAAGGATGACCAGGCGCTTCAATTCCACCCTTTCAAAGCGATGTTTCAAGGAAGGAGATCTAGTATGGCGCGTTCAAGGATCGGCAAGGCGTAACCCCCGTGAAGGTAAATTAGCAGCCAACTGGGACGGCCCATTCAGAATCCGCCACTCTTTGGATAACGGTGCCTACAAGCTTGAGGAGCTTTCGGGAAAGGTCATTCCAAGAACATGGAACTCAACTCACTTGAAGGCATATTTTAGTTAGCAATGTTTTGTGTAAAGTTAGTGATCCATGTATACATGCAGAGTGCACTCTTTTCCTTGATCGGTCTTTTTTCCTCTTATAAAAAAGTGAAAAGAGGTTCTGGCCGACAAGGTTTTTAACGAGGCACATATAAATGAAATGCATTTCAGCTTAGTCTTATCGTTTCTTACTTAAGCTGTACTCCAAAAAGGTTTCCCTCCCGAGTAACCAACTCGGCCAAGGATGTACCTTCAAATCTCAAGGTTTCCCTCCCGAGTAACCAACTCGGCCAAGGATGTACCTTCAAATCTCACCAAAGGTTTCCCTCTCGAGTAACCAACTCGGCCAAGGATGTACCTTCAAATCTCAACCAAGGTTTCCCTCCCGAGTAACCAACTCGACCAAGGACGTACCTTCAAAACTCAAGGTTTCC